GCTTCCCTGCCCCGCCACCTTCCTCTTGCATCCCTTCCTGTCTTATGACCTCCTCCCTGCTCCTCAGTGTCCCTGCCCAGGGCACCACAGCTTCCTGATTTGAGAATTTTTCAGTTTATCTTCTGTTTGTGTCTGACCTCAGCTAACCTCCTGCAGCGCTCTCACCCCAGGCCGCCCAATCTGAGACCAGGGGCCAGCTTCCCTTTGCCCTCATTCCATGCCAACATCCAACAGTGGTCATTTAGCCTGGAAGCTTCTCTGAAATTCACTTCTTTGTTCATCTTTCCCCCTTGACTTCATGGGCCATCCTGTTCCCAATTATGCTGCCCCATGTTTTCCTGACCAACCCCCAGACTTCTGTTCCTACAATTACTTATCCAATGTGAACTTCCATGGTGGGGCCATTTGGTCCTGACTGGGATTACAGAGGAGGGGCTTTCTGCATGAGACCCTGGGGCCAGATCTCTAGGTGTGAAAGTGGGAATTGCTTTGTGGTTCCTGCTCTACCTGGGCTCCAGCTCTGCAGAGGGAGGTGGTGGCAGAGCTGAGGGGAGAGGGTGGGAAACCAAGGCCTCAGGGATCACTGTGTCTGTGTACTGTTCCCAAGTGCAGCCTGGAAACTTCTATCTCCAGCCCCAACTCATATCTGAACTCCAGACTCACATATTGAACGGTTACTCAACAGGTCCACCTGGATGTCTAACTGGTCACCTCAACACCCCACCTGAGCGCACATATTGAACGGCTACTCAACAGGTCCACCTTGATGTCAAAATGGTCACCTCAACACTCCACCTGGCATCAAATCCTTAATTCCCCTCCCATCCTGCTCCCTCCTCCCCTCCTCTCCTCCATCCTGACTGCCCATCACCCAATCACAGGGGCTGTGAGCCCTGGATTTGCTAAGAGGGAAGAGGGAGCGGTAGGATGTGCCCAGACCTCACAGAACATGTCCTCCAGCTCTTACATGGGCCACAGACCTTGAGCATCTCTTGCCCGAGGGCTCTCTGGGGCCTTAGGAGACCTGTCATGGTCCTGGGTCGGCCCAGACTTTCCCTGACAGCACACAGGGCATCAGGAGCTGCCTTTAGGGTGGGTCTTAGAGGCGAAGGATCCTAAAGGGATAGAGGTGGCCAGAGCTCCAGAGGTCATCCAAACATCCACTCTTTGTGCACTTGGGGAAACTGAGGCTAGTGAGGAAGGGACCTGTTCAAAGACTCTGAATGGATCAGGAACAAACCAGTGTTTTCTTCTCAGACAACCTGACTCCCAGCCAGCAGGAAGCAGAGAGTATAATTTTCCATCATTCAGGGTAATTTTTTCATGTGGATGCACAGGCCTCTCATCCCCACCCCAAGCAGAACCCCAGAAGGGAGAGGGAGCCCCCCACAGAGGGCCTTACCTTCCGGCTGCGGGCCTTGCCGTACCTCAGATCAGTGACAAAGTGCTCACTGTTCCTGCTCAGAGCACTGTACTCCATCTCCTTACCAACCATCTCCTTCCCAGATCTGAGCATCTCCTCTATGGGCCGTGGTTTGTACAGGTGGTCCAAGTGGTTGTTGACCTTATAGGAGCAGTTTCCCACCACTTCCACCAGGAGCTGCCATCTCACCACCCCTAAGCCGGTGGGGGCGCCAGCCTCAGAGTTCTCCCCTGGAATCAGACACAGGAGTATCAGGAACTGCAGGGGGAGGCCCAGGAGGGAGAGAGAAGACACAAGACAGGGGAGAAGGGCCAGGGGATGATATTATTGAGCCTTGGTGCCTGTCCCTTCACCAATATAATTAGAGGTTTCATGGATTTTACTCTTTTACTTAATGAGCTGTGAATAATTTTACATAATGAGTTGTGAATACTTTTTAATCTAATGAACATTCTGATGGTCAGTGGCTGCGATTGTGCTCCCTTGTATGAAGGGACATCGTCTAGCTGACCATCCACCATCACTGACACTTCTCCTTTATGAGACTGTGGGGCCCAGAGACCCTGCTGGTTTAGGGAACTCTGTCTGTGAGCCCAGCTAGAGGGCCAGAGCCGGAAAGCGTCCAATATGGCCCCACCCGGCTTTCCTGGGGCCCACGGACCTCT